TAACAAAACCCCAAAACCCCAAAACCCCAAAACCCCAAAACCCCTGTTGATAAGATAAGTGATTTTTTAAGGTTGTTATAGATAAATTAGTAATTAAAATGAGTTGGTTATGGAACCTGCTTACCCCATCAAAGTCTAAGCCTCCAGCCACGCCTTTGAAAGATACTGCAGAAAAGGACAAGGAGAACATTAAAGAGGAATAAAAGGTTGAAAAATCCAAATTAATAAAAGAGTAGCAATAAGGGGGATTAAGCGGTTTGAGCAATAATGATAAAATTTTAAAAGATAAACAGCTTAACAATCTTGATAAAGTGAAAGGAAATCAGCAAATAAATTTAGAAAAATAGAAGTATTAGAGATAGATAACAGCATTAACCACGGAGGAGACAGAGGATAACTATCAGGATTAGGAATCACAGATATCGGGTGAAAACAAATAATAAATACACATCGAATCTAGATCCTCAAAAAGTGACTCAAATGTAGGGAATGAGTCCGAGGATAATAATTAAATATTAGATTAACAATAATAATAGGAGTACTTGCGTAAAATGGAGCAATTGAAAAAAGTAATTCTAGAATGCTTCAACAATTATTAGATTATCTCAGAGCCACTGCAGGATCCAGAATCTTATGTGGAGTAGCTCAACTCTAAAAAGAGAAAGGCTGAAGATTAGTAATTTTACACTTTCCCAAATTCATTTCTATTTTAGATTATTTGAAATAGAGGAGTTAAGTTCAGGTACGAATAAACGATAAAAACTAAATTAATCTTCTTAATACTCGAAAATTCGTTAAGGAGGCCTCTAATATGGAGATACTCCATACAGACTAAAGAAGGTAATTTTGATGGAAGGCGAAACATTCTGGGAGGTTGAATGGATTTAGAATCCTGACAAGCAATCTATAGTGGTTGAGCAATTAGAAGACAGCTATGAAAGACAATCTAACTTGATGAAATGGAATGAGAGTGTATTTCTTGAATTAAAATCTTAATTTATTGTTACTAAAAATCAAAATATGTGAATAAGCATCATGTTCAATTTATTTTTGTAATTTATCATTATTGATTCTTTTTGATTTTTTTTACCTATTCCATAAGCCGGGGTTTTGGGGTTTTGGGG